CAAAAAGCCATTTTGGCTTTGGCTGGAATAAAATAAATGAATAATATCAAATTAAATTATCTAATCAGCAATAAAAAGATAATTAATATTTACCCATGAAACCAATGTAGAAAGATATGTTCCAATAAGTGCGCATACATTGAATGTCAAAAAACACATTACACTGGTATAATATGTTTCTCCGAAAATAAAATCTTTACTTGACATTTTAATATCTATAACGTATAAATAATAATATAATTTTAATAATTGTAAACAATAATTTATTTTAAAAAATTAAGTTTTACCTGAATGAACTGCTGGAAATATTGAAAGAGTGACAAAAAATACAAAAAACACATTAATTAATTGTGGACCAGCTTGTTTAAAAATACTCCAATAAGGAATCTTATCATCATCTCCACATTGTTTTAAATCTTGATTTTCGATTTTTTGTAGATAAATGTGTTCATGAAACTTATAAAATCTCTAAAAGTATACATACACACATAAATAAATGTATTTTATTGTTTGCGTATTCATACTCAAAAGTATAATTACTTACATTTGATGGCAATGCAAAGTATGTATTAAAGCAGGTAAGCAACACAAACAATGCGGTGGTGAAATAATATATATAGCAGCAGTTCGAGCATCTGGAGTTATTGAAATTGATGCAATGTTAGCGATAGATGTAAATGTACCACTTAAATTTGTACCAAGAACTACAGCACCAATATATTTTGCAGGGAGTTTAGCTGCCATCCCAAAAACAGAACTGTTGTAAATACCATTTGCCATATTTAACAATACTATACTGCACAGAGTTGACCAGAAAAATAGAGCTGGTATTTGAGAAGTATTAATCATGACCAATGCAACAGTAAAAATAAAACAAAGTACTTCAGTAAGAATAGACCACACAATTCGAGTCGTCAATTTTCCGCTGGAAATTAAATTATTAACAATTTAATATATGTGTATAAAAAAACATTTTGATTTATAATAGCTAATATACAATCCTTATTTGTTGAGAAGTTATTTGTACCCACCCATACCCATTTTATCAATTATCAAACATTTTTACTTTCAGGTTAATATTACTACTTATTTTTAATTATTCATAAATCAATATTTTGCATTTATATTATAATATTATTGTTTGTTTTACTAATATAACTTAATCCGATCGTTATGTCCATTGAAAATTGTTTACCATAATTTAACAACATTTTAAGTTTAAACAAATACATAATATTATGAAGTACTGCATGATTCTTATGTGGAATTAATTTTCTACACATTGAACAATTTACAAATTATGTCTTTATCATATTGTATCTCAAAGAGCAATTAATTTGAGGCCTATCTTTAGATTACCTAGATCACATAGATTATAGATTATACATACAATTTGTATCAAAGATACTACACATAACTAATAGAAGTTTAATGAAAAGTTAACTAAATCTCTGAATTAAGATTTGATTGCATGATGAACCATACATTTATTTTTTAAATCTATAATAAATGTTTTTAAATAATAAAAAAATGATAGCCTACAGCCATTAGCTGACTATACATTACACATAATCATCAACAGTAGGTACCATATTCATAACTAGTAATATTATGCGTTAGGTCTTCGGACATAACATTATTAATATGTACATTTAATCTTACCCTATAGGACAAAAAATGTTAAGCCAATTGAATAGAAGACTGGGAAACTGTGACCCAATAGTCAAATAAGCCATGAAAATGGACGCATAGTACAAATCATCACCTAAATAATCGTGTCCCAACTTGTAATCCACAAAATACTAGTAAAAAAAAAATATATATATTATTAATTCAAATGTTTTCATCAGAAGTAAATTAGTTATATAACTGTTTTATAGTAAAGAACATAATAATTTTTTTGATTATTTAAATTTTGCATAACACTCATTTCATGTCTGGTTGAGTTAAAGTCTATGCAACTAGATATAAAAAGTAAAATTACAATAAGACTGGGTTTCAAACAAGACTATTAAACGAAACTTCTAAATAAATAGGTACTCTTAAATAAATTGAATAAATAGTCTATTAAACACCAAACAACAGTTAATAAATGGCATTTTTATTGAAAATTAAATCTACCACATTTTTAAAGCAAACCAGTTTAACTAGTTTAAGTATTTTAATATGTTTAGAATATATTATATACTTAGTTATCATAATAATCCCTATAATAATAAACATACATTCAATTTTAGCATAGAATTTCCACTTACAGATTTAGCATTTATAAACATATTCCAAGGCATTAATATTCCTATTCCGTGTAGAACTAAAATCAGATACACAATATTCCATCTAGAACAATCAATAAAAACAAACAATATTATAATTATTAATCAAAAATATTATGAGTAGGTACATTTTAATCAAAATTTATGAAAAAAGCATTTTCGGAACAAATTTAATTTAAAAATGTTTATTCATCACTAACATTTTAATATCAGAATAAAGTTTAAGCAGATTCTAAAATAAAAATTGTCTGCAAATAAACTAAAGTATAGAAAGTTTCATGACATTTTTTAATTAGTAATATGATCAATGGTAAATTACTTAATAAACAATTATTATGTACAAAATTATAATTTCAAGACCACGTGCACAATGTAAATATAAATATCATTGGTGCAGGTAGGGTAGGTATATAAATTTGAACTCGCCTGTCTTTCGGAGGGTCACTCTGTAATACAGAATCATCCATGCAGAATATTTCAGAGTTAAGTTTGTTGTTCGGTAAATTATTTACTTCCCAAGTAGAAGTCATTTGTACTGGTTCTTGCTTAGAAGCAACACTTGTAAATCTATTATGTAAGTGCACTAGAAAAAAAAAAGTACAATTTGTATGAGTAAAACAAATATGCTATACATTATAAAATGACACAAATATGCAAAACCAAATGTATGATTATTATTTTATATTATGTTATAATGTTGTAACCTATATCTTATTATGAATATATTTTACTATTTTGAAAACATATTATACAATTAGGTATTTGTTTTTATTAGTTCGAAAGTCGAAACCCATACAAATGATTATAAATGACCATTGAATATTAGAATATCAATCTACTTATGAGAAATGAATAATGCAAATTGTTGTTACGTCTTTTTGTTGTCTTTTTTTTAAAACTGTTTCAAATGTTTAAATATTATTATTTTTTTGCTAATATAAGCAAACTACATTTAAAAAATATAAATATAAATTATCAGTTATCATTTGTTAATAACTGTTAGGTATTGAAAATGTTTATACATACAAAAAATACTTACACTGTTTCAAACAAATCGCAACCATATGGGTATAGTGTTACATCGAAACTAGTATAATCAAACAAAAAATATAATTTGGTATAGGCTATTTTATAATATGTTGTAGCATCGAAACCAGTTTATTGAGTAGGGATATTGTCTAGACTCTGGAATGTGGAATTCAATTAAGGGTCAATTTGGTTATCAATTATATACTTTCATAAATACCACAGCTCCTGACGTCGTTAAGCACTCGAAATTTCAAATTCCAATACGAAGAATTATTACATTTTACTTGAACGATTAATTCACTTTAATTTTACTATTCAAATAATATCCGACAAAACTATGGATTATTATTATTTTCTTAAATAATTTAAAAAAAATAGAAAATGTACGGAATTAAGTTGGTATTACACAGAATTGCGAAGAGTTTAGATATTAAATTTTGTTCTAAAAGCTTTTTAAAATTTAAATATTAATGTATCATTGGCATATTTAGAATAAACTTGCTGTGCCTATTGTATATAATTATAGCAAGATGAAATATTTTAATTTTAATGATATTTAACGAATGCAATTTGCTGCAATAACAATTCGCAAAAAATAAATTTAGATCGGTGACTTAAGTGTTAAATATAAACATTTATGTTCATTTTTATTGAGCATGCATAGTAGACCCAGTAAACTTGTCAAGGCTATAAGACGTCCAATTTGGGTATATGTTGTATGTATGTCTATGCGGAAGGCTAAAATTATCTATGAATTATTAAGGTCTACCAGAATACTTCTATAAGATAAATAAAACAATGATTATTGTAAATGTATTTTTGTAAATGTTATTTTTACGTATAATAGACGTATTAAAATATTTTATTGCCGCTTTAGAAGTGCCGGAAACTGTAGACTGTAGTGCGTAATTTGAAGTAGAGGGACCATAGGCGTAAATTGGGGGGGGGGGGCTTAGGGGGCTTAGCCCCCCTAAAAAATAGTATAGCCCCCTCATTTTAAATCTCCAAATTTCAATTTTTTGTTAGAAAAATAATTCAATTTATTACGTAATTCCTAAGCAGGAAAGCACCGATAGGTAGGTATAAGATTATATTATGATTTATGAACGTTTAAGTAATAGATTTTGTATTGTAAGAAGAACAAATGGCCTTATGTATACGCTATTGTAAAGGGCTAGACATTTTTGAAAAGTTCATTGGTTTCATTAACTGCTCTGAAAGTCAAAATGCTCCATCTCTTTGTGAATATATACTCAAATACTTGAAGGAATGTGGATTAAACTCTAATGCTAAACTGGTAGCCCAGTCCTACGATGGAGCTAGTGTTATGTCTGGGAGATTTAATGGTGTACAAGCTTTAATAAAATGTAAATTTCCATATGCTATTTATACCCATTGTATATTTGTATGGCTCATAGAGTCAACCTTGTAGTGCTTGATATGTGTAAAACTGAAAAGGTATGTGAAAACTGAAAATATAGTATAATATTGTGAATTTATTGTGTATTATTAGGTAGGTATATTTATCATATTGTTTGCTTTAAAGGAATCAAGAAATGTTTTTCATACATTAGAGTCATTATATGTTCACTTTTCTCAACCAGCGAGAAATAAAAATCTCATTGACATTCAAAAAAAATTAGGTATTGAAAAAAAGACTTTAACACGACTGAGTGACACAAGATGGAACTGTCGATATAAAAATTGTGAAGCTATACAAAAATGTTATGCTTCTATCAAAAGATTATTAAAAGAAGAAATTGAAAACAATAATGATAAAGATGTTAACGAAGCAATAGGTATCAATTATAATTTATTACTAATTTAAACATTTTTATTTCTTATAATTAAATGAACTACCTAATTTATATTATTAATTATACAATCAATTTTTTTAATTTTTCAGGAATTCTGACCAATATGCAAAAAGGAATATTTGTAGTTCATTTATTTATTCTTCAAAAGGTGCTTACTATGGTTAATATATTATCAAATCAACTTCAGTCAAAGACAGCTACACTAGGAAATGCGGCAAATGTAATAAAAAGTGTTATTAAATCGTTCGAAGATTTAAGAAATCCTGTTGCGTTTTCACAAATGTGGAAAGAAATATTACAATTTTGTGAAGACCATAATTTAACAATTGAAAAACCATTTCAAAGTATGCATAATATAATAATAAATAATATTAGTACAATAAATATAAACATTAAATAATGTTTGTTGTTTTTTAAATTGTAAAATAGGTTGTAAAAGAAAAAGGTTACAGCCAAAAAGCCTATCAAGTTTTGTCATGAGTACAACTACAAGTGCTCAATACAACACTCCTGAGGAATTAGAGGAAAGTAAAGAAGATTATTTCAGATGTCATGCTTATTTTCCTATATTGGATTGTATAATTGAGAATATGAATAAACGATTCACGCCCGAAAGTTTAGAAATGGCAACATCTATAGATAACTTTTTCAAACTAGATTTTGCACTAAGTACTTAATTCATTGATCATTATAAAGTAAATATGTATATTGTATAGCTGTATAGTGTATATATTGACTAATACTTAATTTTATATTTCTTTAGGATTTGTTAAGTATTTCTGTTGATTCGTTGAAAGCTGAAATGATCGTCGCTAAAAACGTTATAATCCAAACATATGGTACTTCAAAAGAATTAATAACTGATAACTTAAAACTTATTTTACAGGAAAATGTTTACCCAAACTTGTTTCATTTGTATAAAGTAGCTATAACATTACCTATTAGTTCTTCCACGTGTGAGAGAAGCTTTTCGGCCATGCGCCGAATAAAAACATGGTTACGAACGTCTATGTTACAAGATAGATTTACTCAGGTGTCTATATTGTACATAGAAAAAAACGATACCAAAAATATTAATAAAGATATCATTCTTAAGCAATTCGCAGAGGAACATAAATATATTATGTTAAAGTAATATTAAGATGATGTTAATTGTTATTACTTATTAATATTTGAATTAAATTATGTATGGTTTTATTTAATAAATAATTTTGAAGTATTTATATACATGTTTTTAAATTGTAAAATTTGGATGTAGATGGTGAGGGGGAGGAAAAAGCTTGCATAGTAGGCTTGTTATAAAGTTCTAATGTTATAAATTATAAATTATAATCTTAGCGTTAGCCCCCCCTTCTAGCAAGCCAAATTTACGCCTATGAGAGGGACCCTGTATTAGTGTATTACAGCTCACTTCCATTTTTTTATCGATCAATAATATAATAAACTATACACTGCAGATAATAGTTATTATGACATTTTATCATGGTCTACTCTAGGGTGGTCCAACCCTTTGTAGTTGGCGGGCCAATTTACACTTTAATAAAACACCGGGGGCCGCCAGAATAAAAAAATTATATTATTACCTATTTATATTTTATTTTATATAATGGACAAATTATTAATTATTATTATTAATATTATTATTTAATGTTTTCATGTTTAAAATTATCAAAAAGTTATTAAAAAAATTAATTAGGCTACGAATGTCTTATTACAGTAAAAAAAAATAAAAAATAAACTATTAATGTGATGATTGGCATTGTTTTTCAGTGGCCAATTTATCAATTTCAATTGAACACCCTGTGGTGTTTAATTTGATGCACGATTCTAAAAACGAATCGTGAATACGGTTTCTTGATTTAGACTTTATGAAATTTATTGTAGAAAATGCCTATTCACAAATATACGTACTGCCAAATAATGACAACATTTCAAGAGAAAAATTCTGTGATGTTGGTTTTTTTGCCAATGGAAATCATAAGTCATTCCGAGTGATTGATTACATCTGTGATGCTCCTGCTCGAGCTCTACTTAAGCAAATTAAAAGTCCAACAGGTTATTTTTCTTGTGAAAAGTGTGTTGTTGATAGGGGATTAAATAAAAAATAGAAGGTGTTGTACCTATTTGAATGTAGCACTTCGATATAATGAACATTTTTCTGCTGGTATTTATAAAGATCAATGTAAATGTATATGCATTTAGTGTGTTTAGGAGTTGTGAGAAAAGTTCTTAATTTACGGAAATCTGGTCCAACTCCATTAGACCTAAGGTTAGACAATTTCTCACTCCATAGTCCAGTACTAATTATTTATTATAATAATTAATTATTATTAATACTAGGTTTCTCAGAAGTAATTCACACAGAAACTAAAAAATCGAAAAGATATTATTCAGACACATTTTTCATATTATTTATTGTATTTTATGGGTGTGCCCACTTTTCCAATTATAAATTATTTATTTATTCTTATTAAAATAAATAAATTTAGTGTATTAATGTTTGTTTTTTAATTGATTTTATTTGTCAATAATGTCAAACATATAAATTATAATAAAAGATTATATTTAATTATATTAATCAATCATGTACACTATCAAAGACAGTCCAAAAGATGTATATTAACAATTTAGACTGTTTAGACTTTAAATAGTAGTCTCATTTAGACTTATTAAAATATTCCACATCAAAAATGGATATTTTGAATTAAAAAATTGTATTGTAATATTGTATTCAATTTAAAATAATAAATTACAATT